TTATTTGACAGAGAGACACAGCGAGCGAGAGAGAGAACACAAGCGGGGGAGTGGGAGAGGGAGAAGCAGGCTTCATGCTGAGCAGGGAGCCTGCCCGATGTGGGGGCTCGATCCCACATGGCCTGAGCCGAAGGCAGACGCCTAATGACTGAGCCACCCAGGCATCTCCATTTTATTTCTTAAAAACAAAATCGGCAGCAAACATGTAAAATGTAGCACTTGTTAATCAGAGTGTGGGGAGGGTGGAATCAGAGTATTCAGTTTTTTTTCTCTAAGTTTCAAGTATTTTTTTTAGTTAAAGTTTTTAAAAGTTTATATTCCAAGGAAATTCACCACCAACTGTAGCACAATTGTGAGACATCACTCCACAGAAAGCTGGATAAGGATCACAAATGTTTAGATGAGTAGTGATCAAAAAGGACCCAGATCTGTTTGCCCCAATGTTATCAATAATTTGCTGAGGTAATGAGGTAAAGGGAGTATAGAGAAGAAAAACCAGGAATATATGTCTAAACTAACCCCAAACTGACACTATTCAGGTAAGGCAAATTGGCTGGTTTCATTGCCCAGGCACTGGGCTTTATTTTTCTCTCTTCAATTTCTTCCATTCTCCCAAAAAATCTCATGAAAACCGAACTACTAATTAACAGAAAGAAGGTAGAGAGAAGCAGCAGCAAAAATACTTTTTCATATCATAGATAAGATGTATCAACTATTGGGCGCCTGGGTAGCTCAGTTGGTTAAGCGACTGCCTTCAGCTCAGGTCATGATCCTGGAGTCCCGGGATCAAGTCCCACATTGGGCTTCCTGCTCGGCGGGGAGTCTGCTTCTCCCTCTGACCGTCTTCCCTCTCGTGCTCTCTATGTCTCATTCTCTCTCTCTCAAATAAATAAAATCTTAAAAAAAAAGATGTATCAACTATTAAAAGTGTAAGTGGTGGGGCGCCTGGGTGGCTCAGTCGGTTAAGCAGCTGCCTTCGGCTCAGGTCATGATCCCAGGGTCCTGGGATCGAGCCCCACATCCAGGGAGCCTGCTTCTCCCTCTCCCTCTGCCTCTGCCTGACTGACTGCCTGCCTGCCTACTTGTGATCTCTCTCTCTCTCTCTCTGTCAAATAAATAAATAAAATCTTTTTAAAAAAAAAGTAAAAGTGTAAGTGGTAGGAAATGTAATTCTTTTGATGCTCTTGAAAAACAAGTTACTTGGCCTATTATATCATTCTCCAAAGATTCATTGAGAAAAGTCACACTTTCTTCCTAGCAATATATTTTCTCTCAAGTCATATGGCTCTGTGGAGCAACACAAAATGTTGTGTTATACACTAAGACCTTTCATGTTTACTAGGTTTTTGCTCTCATATTACCACAGTATTAAACATGAGATTACTACCAATACAAGACTGCAGCAAAAAATAATCATGGAGGGGGTGGGAGTAAAGGAGGATGGAGTGTCACACTTTCAACAGGCACAAAGAGATAAAACATCTCATTTCCAGTTAATGGGAATTAGGAAAAATTAAATGTCACCACAAAGGGAAAAAAATTCAGGCAATAATACGAAATGGGATATTCTATATCTGGATGTGGTCTCTTCAAAAGGTAATATACACAGAACGATTTTTACAAGAATGAATGTCCATAGTAGCTTTATTCACGACCACCACCACCTGGTAACAACCCAAATGGCTACAGAATGGCTACAAATGTTGTCATATACACATACAATATAAAGGAACTGATACACACAGTAACATGGATGACTCTCAAAAATATGCTGAGCAAATGAAGCCAGACACAAAATTTACATACTACATGGTTCCATTTAATATGAAATTCACATACTGGCAAACTAATCTATAGTAATAGAAATCAGAATAGTAGTTCCCTCTGCATGGGGCTTGACGGGGGCACAAGGGAATTTCCTAGGGTGATAGAAGTGTGCTAAATTTTGACCTAAGCAATGATTACATGAGTGTATGAATTTATCTAAATACACTGGGGGGCTGGGGGAGGAAGGAAAGATCATGGGAATGAAAAAGTAGAGCAACTCTATATTAAAATGGACTAAAAAGACCTAACAACAAAATGCAACATGTAAACCTTGATTGGATCCTGGTTTTAAAAAATTAACTATGCAAGTTATTTATGCGACAACTGGGAAGACTTGAATGTGCACTAGATATTAACAAATTGTCACTCATGATCTTAAGTGTATTAACAGTATGGTGGTTATGCAGAACAATGTCCTTATTTTCAGAAGATGTATGTTGAAGTATTTAGGAGTGGCGTAATATGATACCAACAATTTACTTCCAAATTTTCAGCAAAAAAGCCACATTTATTTTGTACATACACATATACTTATGTATGGATAAATCAAATTAATGTACATAGTTCATGGGATATAGTCATTCATTGTACTATTCTTCCAACTACTCTGTATGTTTGAAAAATGTCAATAAAAGTTGGAAAATAAAGATGCCAACTTTTTATAGATACAGAGATAAACTGAAGAAAAACAGCTTAGTACAGAATAGTTTATATGCTACCTACTATATAAGAAAGGAAGCAAAGAACAAATATATGTGAGGGGAATGGTGTGTATATGTATCTATTTGGTTATTACAAAATGAAATACTACAATAACAATTCAGAAACCAATAAAAATGATTACCTACAGCAGATGAGTAAGGATGGGAAATAAGTTTGAGGGCTGGATGTGAGACTGCTCTCAGTATAACATTTTGTAGGTTTTGACTTTTATACCATGTAAACATAAAAAATTAAATTGAAAAGAAAAAACTAAAATTTAAAAGATGTTAAAAGTATCTACGGTCATATAATTCATCTCTTCAATCAAGGCCAAATTAATCAAGCTTGCTTAACTTGTATGGTTGCTGATGGTCTTTTTTGCTCCTTCTCAGCATCAGAGCCATTTAACAGGCCTTTTGCTGGTCAGAAAACGTAGCATCTTGTTGCGGATCTGCCCCTAAATAATTGTGCAACCCTAAATAAATAACTAGCCATGCTAAGCCTCAACTGTAAAACAGAATTAGATTTAATGGTATCTAAGATGCTTAGAACTGTAAAATTCTGTGACTCAGGTGTTTGTTGAAAAAAGTTAAACAGGAATGTTTCCACCTGCATAATTTCTTCAGCTTCAATGAACACAAAGCTCCATTATACTAAATTCACTTTCTGTAGTACAACCAGCACTGAGGAAGAGAGGTACTGAAATCAAAAGTATTTTTGCAGCTCCTTGGGGCTGAAATCAGTTACAACAAAGCACTTCCTCTTGAAGATCCTATTGGCAGAGGAGGCCGCTGCGGCCAGTAACAAAGTCGGGTGAGGAGTTTTACTAACTGCTCCAGGCCAAGCCCTTAAGGAAACTTCGTGTATTCTTTTGCTAAAGGAATCTTACTTTACAAAGAAGTTGCTAATCTTTGGCAGCTGTGGGATAAAAACATCCGAAGCTAGGGCTGTAGTTTCCCACACAGCAGAGTAAAATCTCTGTGGGTTTAGAGATAAGCCAAGAGTGCCAGAAATATTCTTCTCTTCCACTCTGCCTCACACTCTGCCTTACCCAGCCTTGCCTTCTTTAAGACCTAACAAAAGATCTAGAACTGTCTTGTAACTTCCCTGGAGGTAACTCGGACTCTGTTACTGTGGCCTCATTCTAATTTGAGGAAGGACAGCCAGGAAAGCAGGGGATGGCCAAGGGTGGGTTAAGTGGACAGAGAAGCCATGCCTGCAGGAAGAAGTGGGGAGGGCTTCTTGCTGCAGCACTCAGAGGCGTGGTGTTGGACACATGAGTACCCTCTCACATACATACCTGCCCCAGTTTTGCTGGGAGCTCAGAGTTGAGAGGTAAGAGGGCTTAGGGGAGGTGGAAGGAGAGAAAAGGGTCTGAATGGGGAATTTTGATTCCAAACTGCTGGCACGTCTGAAATGGGAGTATGGAAAGGTTCTCTGGGGATTCCTGTAGAAGAAACAAGCTGGAGCTTTCGTCCCCCCAAGACAAGAATGAGAAGGTTCTGTAAAAGTGAAGAGGAGGGGGTTTAAAAACCCTTGAAAGGGTCTTCTGAGATGATTAAGAGGGATGGAGATTTCTTATACCATGGAGAGGTCCAACCTCTTTCACTTATGGAAGGGCATGGGGGTTCAGTGCCTCAACTGGATCTCCACAGCAGGTTTGGGGACAGGATCCTCTTGAGTAAGTCTGGAGAGTGACTGTGGGTGGGGTTGCTGGTCCTCTCCAGCAAGTTCAGAGAATGAGTAGTTTCTCTGTAAAAGTCGGTGCTTTTGTTGGAGTGACAATAAGGATAAGGGATCCCTCACACCTCAGGGAGGGTCTGGGGATTGGAGGGACCAGAAATGGTTTCTGAGAGGTTGGCCCTGGGGGGAGATGGCAAGGTGCTTTGTGCAATGCTGACACAATTTGGTTGCTGGGTGTGAGTATCCCACATTGAAGACTGAGAGTAAAGGCTCCTTCACCAATCAGAAGCTTGGAAATTTGTCTAAAAGAATCTGCCTGCAGTGATTTGGGAAGAAAAGTCCCCCTTGACGACCAGAGAGAAATGGGGTTCTCTAAGAGAACTCTTTAAGAGAACAAGAGCAGAGAAGAGGAATTTAAAGAGAAGCTCCCCATCCCAATTGACTGGAAAGTTAGGGGCAGGAGAGGAGGGGCTTTCTGAAGTGGTTTGGAAATGATCTGAAGGAACCCAAACTGGAAGCTGGGCTAGAGCGAGAAGAGCCGAGGAGTGGGGCCGGGGTGGGGGGAGACAGAGCTCTGCGTGGCTGGAGTGGGAGGGCCTTCAGGATTTTGAAGTGGGAAGAGACAGAGGTGACATGGGTCAAGACTCCCGAGGGATGATTCGGAGGGTTAAAGGAGTTTTTGAAGTGACTCGGGGTTCAAGGAGGTGAACGAGGGAGGCGTCCCCGAGTAAATGCCGGAGGCTCGCCGATACCCAGGCGCGGGGGTGGGGGGCACGACCGGTACTCACAGAGCGGATCTCCAGCGCCAGGGCGCATTGCAGCGCCTTCACCTTCGGCATCCGCGCGGGGTGGGGCGGCGGGGAGGGACCCCGGCCGCGGGCCCGAGTGAGACGAGGAGACGCGGGGCGGGGCGGGGACGGGGAGGAGACGAGGTGGCGGCGGCGGTGGCAGCTGTGGCCCCCAGGCCGGGGCCCGCGGTCCAGCCTGGGTCCCGCCCGAGCAGCAGCTTTGCGCGGGTCGCGGACTCGTTGTCATGGCAGCCAGGAGGGGCGGGGCCGGAAGAGAGGCGGGGCGGGGAAGCGCCAGAGCCGCCACTCCGGGGCTAGAGGTAGGGGGCGGGGCTCGGCGAACGCCAGAGGCGGGGCCACGCGAGGAGGCGTGGCTTCCGGAGGAGCGGGATGGGGCGGGGCAGTTCTTCTATGACATCAAACCGTGGGCTCAAAGCCAGACAAAGGAGAGAATAGCTAGCTGTTTGTGTAGTGGGACAGTGCCCAGGTCAGGCAGTTGGACTCAGGAGCCCTGAGTTCCAAGGTGGCGATGGCACCTTGGGCTAGTGGAGTCCCAGTGAGTCTTCAGTTTCCCCAACTGTAAAAGAATGGTAATTATTATTGATTCTCTATTTGAATTTCACAGTACAGTTTACAAAGCCAGCATGAGGAAATTGAAGATTAGAGGAGAGGCTTGCCCAGAAGAAGGTAAAACCAGGACTGGAACTCAGGACCTTTCATGTAAAATCCGTTGCCTCCCCGAGAATGAGGCGTGAATCAGATCACGTTCCTCTTTCTAGTTTCCTACTCTGATTCTGTTAGTGTGTCCCCCTCTGCCTTCAAGGTTTCCCAATTCACTGCATATGCATCTCAATGTGTATTGCTTAAACTGAACTGTCAATGCAGAGCCAACAATAAATCCATTTGGAAAGGGCTTGGGCCATAAACCATCAAAGATGACAAGAATGTAAGAGAGTGTCCACTCCAGTCTTTTTTTCAAAAATCATTTTTATTGTGAAATACATTATACATAGAGAAGTGTATAAAATATGTTCATCTTAAACAATAAAGCAAATAACTGGGCAACTAACACACAGGTTAAGAAATAGAACATTACTAGCACCTTAGAAATGCCCCAACGATTGCATTGCTTTCCTTCCCCTGGGAGAAAACCACTCCCCCACCCCCCGACTTTTGTTACAATAATTCCCTTACTTTTCTAAATACTTTTGCTATTCATGTATGCATTTATTTTTTAATTTTTTGGAGGGGAGAGGCAAAGGGAGAGGGAGAGAGAGAATCTTAAGCAGGCTCCATGCCCAGCACGGAGCCAGACATGGGGCTCAATCTCACAACCCTGAGATCATGACCTGAGCTGAAATCAAGAGTCAGATGCTTAACCGACTGAGCCACCCAGGTGCCCCTCATGTGTACATTTCTAAACTAGATGTTTTTAATTTGTTTCCTGTTACTGAGGTTATATAAATGAAATTATACTACTTGTATTTTTCTTTGACTTGCTTCTCTCACTTACTATTATGTTGTGGAATTCACCCAGTATTGATGCTGTGTAGCTGAAGTTTTTTTATTGTTGGATAGTACTCCAGTATATTGAATATTTATTCTTTTTACTATTGATGGTCACTGGCACTGTTTCCATTTTTAGCTATTACTAACAATGTTGTTATGAACATTCTAGTACATGTCTACTAGTGCATGCATGTTCCAGTGGGAGTGGATTAACTGGGTATGAAGTTTTGTACGTGAGAGTTTTTAATAGGTAATGCCACACCATTTTCCAAAGTAGTTGAACCAATTTATGTTCCTGCTGGGAGTGTATAAGAGTTCTTATTTTCCCACATCCTCACCAACATTTGGTATTGTTTAGAACTTTTAATGTTATTATACTTGAGTGTGTATAGTCCAGGTATCTCACTGTGGATTTGTTTTGCATCTCATTATTATTATTGAGATTCAGCACTTTTCATGGTTTTATTAGTCTTGCCATTTTCTCTTTATGAACTGCCTACTAGTTCTCTTGCTATTTTTTTAATTAGATTGTTTTTCTCTTGCTCCCTTTCTCTCTTGCTCCCTTGCTTGCTCTCTCTCTCACTGATTTACAGGAGTTCTTTATATATCCTGGCTACTAATTCTTCATCGATTATATGTGTTAATAAATATCTTCCCCAGTTTGTGCTTAGGTTTTTTCAATTTTCCATATGGTATATGGTGAACAGGAGAGAAATTAAGTCATGGAGTATGGATAGTCTTGGTTTGACCCAAAAATTCCAAATTGCTGTCCAGAATGCCATGCCAGTCTATATACTTCCACCATTCGGTGAATTTTTCATTTCAGTTAATGTATGATTCAGTTCTAAAATTTCCACATGGTCTTTTTCTTTTCTTTAGTTTTCACATGACTACTGAGATTCCCCATTTGTTACTCATTAGGACCATATTTTCCTTTACCCTTTGAATATATCCTTTTTTATATCCTTGAGAATATTTACAATAGCTGCCTTAAAGTCTGTATAAGTTATATCCAAAATCTGTGCCATGTTAAGTTCTGCTTCTACTAACTGAATGTTTTCATAACTATGCATTGCATTTTCCTGTTTCTTTGTATGTCTAGTGATTTTTTTTTTATTGAACACTGGATACTTTGAATAACACATTGTAAGAACCTGGATTCTATTATCTTTCTCTGAAGGATGTTGATCTTTATTTTAGCAGGCAGTTTAATTATGGGGTGATTACTTTACACTTATACAGACTTAGTGATATACTTCACTAGTGCAGATATGTGGAAAGCCCAAGATGTTCTAAAAGCCCATCTAACTTCCAAACTCTGTCTCTTCCAAACTCTGTCTCCAACAGGCCTAGCCATAGACCTTGTTCAGGTGAGTCTAGTGCAGGCCTAACTCTAGGACATTGTTCTTTATACTAGAGTGCAGACTTTCTGGTGTATCAGCTGGATTCCAGGAGTATTATACAAAATGTTAAAAAGATCTCTCCACTGTGGAATGTTCAGTACTCCAATATCCCCAGTGCTGCCTGATCTTAAGCACTTCTTTTCTGCTCTCAACCCCATAGCCGCTGCTAACTGGCAAGTCTCCGGTGATCTCACCCTGTGCCTGTAAAGCTCATCCCTCAGCCTTGAACTTTTGGGGCAACCTCTCATAGGTTTCTGGGCTTTCTGTGCACAGCACCTGTCTTTGTCAGTGTGGGCTGCTGTAACAGAACACCATGGCCACCATAGAGACTTATAAACAATAGAAATTTATTTCTCACAGTTCTGGGAGCTGGAATTCAAGATCAGGGTGCAGCACAGTTGAGCCCTGCTGAGAGCCCTCTTCTGAGTTGCAGATGGCCCTCTTTTCTCATTTTATCCTCACACAGGGAAGAGGGTGAGAAAGCTCTCTGGGGTCTCTTTTATAAGAACACTAACTGCATTCATGAGGGCTCCATCCTCATGACCTAATTACTTCTCCAGGGCCCCACCCACAAATACCACCACATTGGGGATTAGGATTTCAACGTATGAACTTGGAGGGGACACAAACAGTCAGTTTGTTAGCAACTGGTTTAAAGACATTCCCTCTCTGTCATAGCCTATAAGTTTCAGCCTCATACAAAAACTCAGCTGCCAATTACTAAGCCCCAGGCATGAAATTTTGGGTGAAAATTCTAATAGGCCCAAATTGCAGCATTGTGAATGTCACCACTATAATTAATGATGTCTCAGGAAGATTTATAATCACAGGTTGCAGATAAAACAGAAATAGTACGCTTCTGCACATCCCCTCCTTTCATCCTTTATGAAACTTTATGGGAAATAAGTCCAATAAAAAATGTAAGCTCTTAATCTTTCCCAGAAATCCTACCTCATTTGATGAATACTTTGAGAGAATAAATTAGAGCTTTTGTTTTTTTCCTTTTATACTTCTACTTTGCATTTATGAAGTGAGGATGGTAACTCAGGTTCCCTGGCCAAATGGTCAGAAGGCTAGAGGCATTTTTAAAGACTTCTATTGTCTTTCATTCATGTTCAATTCTCCATAAGGGAATTAATTTCCACCAAAGTCAGTGTTTTTATTAGTCATAAGACTATTAACGATAATAACAGTCATAGTAACTGTTCAGTGACAGTTCATTTAATATCAGGCATTGTACAGGTACTTTAGATAGAGAATTATACACCTTAAACATCTCTACAAGGAAAGTATATGTATCCCCATTTAATAAATGAGGAAACAAGCGCAGAGTAAATTAACATGCCCATACTCACACAGATAGTACCTGAGGCAGCAGGCACTTGAACCTAAGTCTGCCCTTCGCCTGTTATAAAATGTTGCCTCTCATTATTTATTAGTTTAATGTTATCAGTAACAAAATAACAATCGGTTTAAGAAACAGTACAACCAAATAAATGTAACAACAGTAACTGTTATACTAAGAGAATAGATGTTATATATATCATTATGATCTTGCATTTGAAAAGATACGTGTGTTCCTGAAAGCATATTTTTATCATTTAAATTGATTCTCAGGATGATCCTATATATTATAAAGTACAATTATTTCTAAACTTCTAGCACCTGACTGTGGGCTTATTTATCACTGAGAATGGTATGGAAAGTTTAAGAGAAACAAGACTTTAAAATTTTCTGATAGGAATAAAAAAATTAAAAAATAATAAATAAGTGATATAGTTTGGAATAAAAAGATCAAGCAGGAACCACCCTGTAGTAAGAATTTTCTTATGTTGTGTCAACTATACTTTAATTAGAAAAAAGAATTTTCTTATATAAAATTTTCTTGTATGAATTGTACTCCTTGGAAAAGTGTTTGAGCTTGAAATGTACTATGCAACCAGAATAATACATACCCAGAAGAATGTTTTGTTTTATTAATCTTGTCTCCCTATGTAAGATATGCTAGCGCAGTCAATAATAATTAGATTTCCATTCCTCTGATTAAGCTTGAGAAAGTAATAAGCAAATTAGGGTTCATTTCCAATTTCTTGTAGAACAGCCTTAAGGAAAATAGACATGTAACAGGCCAGCTTGCTTTTGAAAAATAAGAGGAAGGAGTAGAAGAACATACGCTTAAAAGTTCTGAGCCCTAGTTACAAACTGGGCCTGCTGGAATTGGGCATTGCTTCCAACCTGGTGGATGGTCTCCATTTCAGAAAACATAAGGGCCTGGGCCCCTAGCACAAGGCTCCCCGGAAGGCTAGTAACA